AAAAAATATTTTTTTAACAGACGGAGCCATTTCATTTACACACAAAGCATTCTGGGTAAAAGATGATGTGGATAGGTCCTCGGTGTGAGCGAGCTATATCCACCCTGAAGGTTAATCTTGGACAATATCTGATGATCGACTCTTTTAAATGAAACCAGAGAGCGTTGACAGAGAGGAGAAGGTAGAAATGACTCAGCCTGTGTTAAAATATATTTTTAAAACTTTTAGTTTAAACATTTACAAACTAAACAGCCTACAGTATTTTTACAGTCTTTATTTTACAGTTAAAATATATGTTTATCAAATTAAGTCTAATGTTCCAACTAATTGGGGATCCCTTTAAGGTTCAGGGATTAAAGCAGAAAAAAGATTTTTTGAATGAAATTCTTTCTACACCTTGAGGTTACCCAAGCATCACACTCCACCCTCCAGTATCCCACAGTCGAGCTTTTTTCTGCATATAGGTCAATGGTTTTCATGTAAAGAAGAGTACACTGTGTACATGACCTTAACAAAAGTACACAGTTCAGTGTTCTCTAATGAAATGATGACGATGAGAATTTAGGTTCTCTAGACCAGTGGTTCCCAAACTTTTTATCTTCTAACCCACAAAATATCCATGGCAAAAAGTTGTGACCCCAAATATTACTGGTCTGAGTACACGAACTTTGTTAAAAACCCTAAAAACACAGGCTTTTTGACAATCTAAACAGCTTGTACACAAATATAAATACTTTTTTATACTTGTTTTGCATTTTTGTAATATTTATAGGGAAAATATTACATCAGCAATTATTTTATTACCCTTTAAATTGATTTCTGGGGATTATCCAAGGTTCTTCTCGTAACTGGGTTCCAAGCCCAACTTTGGGAACCAAAGTGCACTGGTTCCCAAACTTTTCAGCTTTTGACCCACAAAATAACAGTAGCAGAGACCTGTTCCCCAGCTATTTTTGGATGATAAACATTTGTATCACGTCAACTAAACATGGGCATAGTAACAATATTCTTTTATACCGCATTCATC